CCATTCCTGTCCCTTGCCATGGCGGAACAGTGCCCATCACTGAGAGGGCAAGGCCAATGGCCTGGTGTCCCGGAACCCGCCCAGTGAATTTTTTTTCTTTTCTCGGGGAAAGTGAACCTCAAGGACACACACATACCCTGAAAAGCAAAGCGACAAGACTCTGAGTGTTCTCCTCCCCCACCTGGTGGTATGGACACAGAAAAACTGCTTCCCAGGCCGCATCAGTCACTGGGCTCTGGGGTGGTCTGGGCAGATGTTGACAAAAATTATTTATGTTTTCTTAGTATCAGAAGAGGATTTTAGCATTAAGGCGTAGCCGGTCCTAACTCCGTACTCTGTTGGCTCATCCCCTGGCCACCCTCTGCTTCCTCTTCTGGCCTCTGGGTACCCGTGGAAGCATCTCTGTGTATGACTCTGTCCCAGGGGGAGGTGGCAGTTCATGTGGTCCCCAGGTGAGCTGGGCAGGGGCTTGGTGGCCGACATGGCCCAAGACAGCCTCTGAGGAGCACCATGGACAGGGATCTCTGGCCCTCTCTTCCCTTCTTTTTGAAATTCATATCTAGCAAATCAAAATGTCACCCATGTCAGGTTTCAGGGGTCCTGCATCCCCTCCCTAATGCTGTTGCCCTTCCAAACCCCTCACCGGCCTGGCACCCCCTAGTTTACAGAGCCCCCTCCCACCCTGGAGCCAGTCGGACCCCCAGGACAGTGCTGTGCCGAGGCAGGCTGGTGGAATGGGGGATAGTTCAGGGTGTTTGCCTTATTTGACAAATGCAGACAGTGAGGCCCAGAATGGCTCAAGCACGAGCCAGAGACCCCCAAGGCCGTGAGTGGAGGCTCCTGCCTTGGCTCAGGCTTGCTGACCCCTATCCCAGGGCTCCTGATCTTGAAGGATGTGCTCTGGGGATGCCCAGGTGAGAGGTGGCCCCCAGGCCTTGAAAGATCTGGCCACGCCCCCTCTGCTGCCAGCCTCACTGGGGTCCACGCCCCCTCAAGGTGCCTTTGAGGGTTTCTCTGGTGGTCTCCTTACCCAGTCCTTGTCCTCTCGTCCTGATCCAGATGCTGAGGAGACTCAGATCCAGGGTGTCTGCTCTGCCGGGGTCCCACTTGCTGTCCCAGCAGATACCTGCCCTCCAGACTTCCCCCTACCACAGCCCGCATACCATGCAGACCCTCCCTTGGAGTCTGAATCACCCCACAACCTGGGGGACAGGCATGGAAAGAGGTCCTGCTTGGTTCTAGACCGTGTGTGGGTTGGGAGAGCTTGGGAGCCTGGAAACTCCGGGCTGGACGTCTCTGCCAGTGCTCCAACTCTCCTTGGGGTGACTGAGGCGCAGAGAGAGTGACATGTCCAGGGCCAGAAACGATGGTGTGCAGCCGGCTTATGGTGCACCCTGCACTGCCCACACACTCGTCCCCGCCCTGAATTTAGGGTATTTTCTCACAGAAACCCATGGAAATGTGTCCTCAGGCTACTGATCAGTCAAGTGGGCTGGACATTAGCCTGGGTGACTGACACTGGGCCCTGGACCTGGCGTCCACCCTGCCTGCCTTGATGATGCCAGGACACTCCACAAGCTGCTGTCCTGGGAGCTTCCAGGCCACTGTGAATGCCCCCCGGTCCCCTTTCCCCCCAACCTTGGGTCCTAGGACACCCCTGCCTAGCGTCCTCTGCCAAGGAAACTGGTTAACTTATATTGTTATATAGCGTCGAAATGTCTATAGTGTCTTTTAAATTATTGTGACCTACACTGGGTACTGGGGGCGGGGGGGATGGCTGAGCTGTTCCCGAGCCAGGTCCCTCCTTCTGCTTGAAACAGACCCTTGGACCCTTGGTGGCCCCTGATGCCACCAAGTCATCCCACTGTCCCTTGGCCACCAGGTGCCCCTGCCAACACCCCACCCTCCCCGCAGAGTGTGCCAGCAGCAGCCCTTCCCTTGGGTGGGGGTGAGGGTGGCACTATGGCCCAGGTGGGATGGTGGTGGCCGAGGCGCTGCGTGTCCCTGCAGTGTCCCACTCCAGGAGACCTGGCAGGTTTCTGACGGGCTGTGTCTGGCCTCCCCGGGAGGGGAGCGCTCAGCTCCAATAAAGCTGGAACCAGAGGAGTGAGTGTGTGTGGAGCCCCCGCGATTTCCCTGCAGAGCTTGCCCCTGGGAGGGGGGACACAGGAGCTACCCCTCCAGGACAGCCCCCCACCCTCCTCAGCCCTCATGTGGCTCCCGCCCTTCCGACTTCCTCTCCCCTTTCTGCGAGCTGGGCTGGGCCATGCTGAAGGTCCCTTCTACCCCGCCCTCCCCCCCCCACCTTTCCCAGGTCCCATGGGTTGGGGGGGAGGCACGGGGGAATCTTGTCCCACCTGCCCCCAGCTACTTGTGGGGGCTGGGTCCAGACTCTGAAGCCTCCTTAGACAGCCTGGGTCAAGATGCAGGGACAGGAGGGCCTTGGCCTGGTGCCATGGGGCTGAGTTGGGGCTGCTCTCAGGAGAAGGGGGAGCCCAGGGGTAGGCGAACCGCAGCCTGGAGGCCCCAGCCCCAGCTGTCTCCCTCTGTGCCTCCCTTCCCCTTCTGACCCCAGCTGGGCTCTGGCCTCAGGGTCCCTGTGGGTCTGTCCCAGTGTGGCTGGTGGGTTTTGACTCAAGTGCCCCCCCTGGGGCGCTCCTTGCCCTCTCCAGGTATGGGAAGGCAGCCTGAGGCTCCTGGGAGCTCAGAGGCCCCTGACTGGCCACCAGGCCTCGCTACTTCTCCCCAGAGGCCAGGCCTCTGCCTGTGGTAACTGTGTGAGCAGGGAGGATGAATGGCATTCCTGCTGAGGGCCGGAAGGCATGCGGCGGGGCCGGTTTGGCCACTGCCCACTGTCCCGGCAGCCTGGCATCAGGC